GGCTTCGGTTACAGGTCAGCAAGGTGTCTTAGGGCCATAGTCTCAGGGGTTCCTCCAGTCTCTGTCAGACCAGCAAGTCTGGTCCTTTTTGTGAATTTGATTTTTTGTTCTACATTTTCCTCCCGCTCTGTCCGGGACCCTTTGTTGTGATCTCTGTCAGAGTGGTCAGTAGTGGTAGCTGGGCACCACCTAGTTCTTCTGGTCTAGGGGTTGTGTAGGCTGTGGTTCATGTGGTCCTTAGTCCTTTGGACTAATTACTGGCTCCCCTTCTTTTACTCATTCCTTCAACCTTCCTCCTACCTGCGCTGCTCGCAAGCTCTCCTGGCCAGCTGCCCTCCTCCGTGCAGGCTGGGCTCCTTCATTTCCCGGGACACTCCCTGAACATTCCTGCCTCCCAACCCCTGGCTGTGCCTGTCCTGCCCCCAGGGTGCCGCCCCACTCCTTTCTGCTGATCCAGAGCCTGCCCACCTTTCCAGAATAACACAGAGCCTTAAAATGGCAATTAATGTGTTGGTCATTATATTTACATAAAGTATATAAAGTATTTCTAATAATACATCCAAAAAAGGTAATTATAAAGACTACACACAGCCCTAGGAAAAAAATGGGATGTATAGTAATAAATAATATATACATACTATGTGCACTATGATTAAAACTATATTACAATTTTGCACCCTTGAGAAAGGGAAAAGGCACAAATAAAATGGTTGTTCCAGAGGAGTGGGAGTAGGGACAGTTTGTGATTATTTTTCAAGTCACTTTACTATTACTGCAATTTTCTTTCTAATATAAACACTGCTTTGGAATTTAAAACATCCAGTCCTCTCAAACCCCTCTCGCTCCACCTCCTCCTTGAAGCCTCCCTAACTCCAGCCCACAAAAATCTTTCCTCCTTTGACTCCTATGGCACAAGTTTCTACCTTATTACTTACGAAACAGTGGGAGGCAGCAGAGCTTCTCCAGAGGGCAGGGCATGGGGTCTGGAGGTAGCCGCCAGCCCTGGTTCAAATCCCAGCTCTCCTGCTCCCTGGCTGCCAGCCCCAGACAGGTTACTTGACCCTTCAGTGCCTCAGCTTACTCATCTGTAAAATGTTAAGAGCATTCCTACCCTGCGGGGCACAATGAACAGGGAAGACTGAAGAAGAACTGATACCTTGAATTATGGTATTGGCAAAGAATACTGAATATGCCATGGACTGCCAGAACCACAAACATATCTGTCTTGGAAGAAGTATAGCCAGAATGCTCCTTAGAACCAAGGATGGTGAGACCTCATCACATGTACTTTGGACATGTTATCAGGACTAGAGAAGGACATCATGCTTGGTAAAATAGAGGGTCAGTGAAAAAGAGGAAGACTCTCAACGAGATGGACTGACACAGTGGCTGCAACAATGGGCTCAAGCATAACAATGACTGTGAGGATGGCGCAGGACTGGGAATTGTTCTATTCTGTTGTACACAGGGTCGCTATGAGTCGGGACTGACTCAACGGCACCTAACAACCACGATGACGACAGGCGATTGGGAAAATCCCGAGATAATAGAAGTTAAGTGTTTAACGCAAGGCTGGCTTCGTATCTGCTCTCTGATGTCATCATCATCACCACTGTTCTCTAGCGGCTTGTAGTTGTCCTTAGTTGCACTGGATTGGCTCTGACTCATGGCGGCCCCATGAACAACAGAATGCAATGTTGCTCTGTCCGGCACCATCTTCATGATCATTAGTATGCTCAAGTCCTTTGTTGCAGCACTATGTCGGACAATATTTTGTTGTGATCCTTTCTCCTTGCTCTCTTGCACATAGGGTTTTCGTTAGCTAAGGTGCAGAAATAGATCACCAGGGCTTTCTAGAAGTCTGTCTTAGTCTGGAAGCTCTGCTGAAACCTGTTCACCATGGGTGACCCGGCTGGTATCTGAAATACCGATGGAATAGCTTCCAGCATCATAGCAACATGCAAGCCACCACAGTATAGCCAGAATGACTAGTGGCTTGGCGTATCAATACGCTATATAATATACATGTATGTTACACACGTATAATATATGTGTCTTTTCCAATCTGACGGTAAGTTTGAGGCCAGAACCCTCCACCTCTTGGCATGGCCCACCCTGTGCTCTCTTGCGTACATGCTCATTCTGCTTCCCTCCAGGTACACCAGGCAGATATGACCCTGCCCAGAGGTAACAGGACTCAGACAAAGGAAGCCTGAGGCTCACCTTATGCCATAAAATGGGACAATGGGGCAGAACATTACCCCGGCTCCTTCTGCAGGCCATTAGCCATGCCAGGGCCCTTCACCCAGGCTAGGAGACTCCTGTTAAGAAGCCTGGGACATGGGCACACGTTACAGGGGAGAGTGTACTGGCCTTGTCTGCACACTGTCAGCAGGGGTGTCTTGGCCAAGGTACTTCCCCTCAGTGCCTCAGTGTCTTCATCTGTAAAATGCGGGGGGGTACAATTACCATTTTCCTCACAGGGCTATCGATATGAGATAATGTTTGGGAATGGGCTTCCAGGTGCACAAGTGCCAGACACACATGCTGGTGATCAGTGCTGCCATCTGTCTGTCACTAAATGCTGCCCTCTCCCACCCCACTCCACTCCTCTCTTCCTGCCCCCACTGCCAGAGCAAACGCCTAGCACTGTTTCAGGTCCCCTGTAGGTTCTCTGGATGGGCTGCATGGGAGGGGCTCAGAGAGGCCTTTCCTTCAGGCCACTGGAACATCCCCAAGGTTAGGCCCCGACCACCGGGGCCACCTTTGGCTCCCACCTCGGCACCTGCGGAAGGGGAGCAGGATCAAGTGCCAGAGACTGGTGCCAATCCCTTCCATGTACACATGGCAGGAAGGGAGGTGGGAGAGAGCTGGGGGAACAGACTGTTCTGTGGCTAGGTGCAGGCTGTCCCCCCTAGCCTGGCCATCCTCAGTGGCTCTGAGGGCAGTTACAGGGTGAGAAGACTTTACCAGCCACCCCATGCCCTGGATGGGACACCCTGGTGGGGAAGATCCCCTCCCCTCCCAATCCATAGGAAGGTTGGTAGATGGTGCCGTGGCCGAGGGCAAGGGGCTATCCTTTGGGAAGTCAAGTCCTGAGAGAACCTCAAAGCCCCCCAGAGGCCTCTGACCCGGAACTGCCAGCTCACAGGCGCAGGTCAGCTGGCAACAGGAAGGTTTGTGTTTCTTTTAATACCAACTCTCAGGCATTTAACATTCCCTGAAGCTTAAACACAGAAACATTTTCCTTACCAGACTGTGCTTTCTGCTCTGCCAAACATAACCTGGCTTCCTCCCCTTCCCCCATCTGCTCCTGTCTCCAGGATAGGATGATTTATGGTGTGCTTTCCCCCAGGGCTGTATGGCTGGCCAGAAAGAGAAGCAGCAAAGTGACAGGGTGGGACGTCCAGATGGGGGAGAATAACGGCCCCTGGCATCAGAGTTCCAGCGGTCGGGGTCCACAGTGCCCACTGAGCCGGCTGCCCTGGGCACTCTTTTAACTCCTTCCATTCCATAGCCACCAAATGGCACAGGGAGTGTGGCAACCAGTCGTGTCTCTTGGCTGGGACTCTCCTGGGACTGAGTGGGTCCCAGCCCCAGAACCTTCACCTGTCCATCCCGCTACTCAGCCCAGATATGGAGATGGGACTCCCATCCCTGCAAAAAGTAGGTTCCAGGGACTGAATTTAGAGAGCCCTTTCCATCAGCCCCCATTTCCTAAATAATGAAGGACTGGCTTGCGGTTACCTAGCAACACTGTCTCCCTGGTAGCAGTACTGAGGAGCAGGGTAGAGGTCCCACAGCGTCAGGAAGGGGAATGCTCAGGATGTGGGGTGATGTGAGGCAGATGGCCAGCATCCCCCCAGCAGTGCCATCCTCCCTGTTCAAACACTGGAGCCCGAGACAGGTACGGGGAGCGGGAGGCCCACACGGATCCCCAAGGAGCAATGCCATTAAAGACACCTGTTAAGAGACAGATACCAAACTGCAGCCTCAACAATGCCTCAGAGAAGGAACACTTCCTGTGAAAGAGCAACCCCCAGGCCCCTGCAGACGGGGCAATCCAGCCACACCCAGGTCACCCCTGGTGCAACTGCTAAGAAGCCCAGAGCTCCTAAGGCCTGTGGCTCAGTCCCACGATGGGCCAGGTTTTGCTTTCCTTCATTTCCTGGTCATAGAATCCACTCCCAAACCCGGCCACACAAGATGCTGGACAGAAGTGTGGATGGCTCCATGCTCAATACCACCCCCCAGGCCGGTGTTCTCTTGATAGGTAAATGAATAGCAGGCATCTGCAAAGCTGCAAGCATGTTCCAGAGACGCAGGCTGCAAAGAAAGCCCTTTTCTCCACATATATTTGCACAAGAAACGCAGCTGAGACAGGTATGCTCTTAACCTGAGGACCTGCCTCTACGATAGCCAGAGAATCCACCCTAACCCAATGAACACCAACACAGATGAGTAAGGCCCACTGCAACCCTCACAGCAAGTGAGAGACCGGCCCCCCGAGGTCCCAGCTGGATTCTAACCCATTCCAGATGAATGGCAAATGCTTGGGACCTATGCCTCATTCCTCATCCCACGCCCATGGCAAACATTGCTAAGCAAATACAGCACTTTTTTCTCCTGCTCATGGGTACAGCCTCAGAATCCTTCTCAACACAGGGTTCAAGAAAACATCACCAATCTACCAGACATGTAAAAACAAACGTAGCTGCCATTCCTCCAGTCCATCCTGCAGGAGTGTGGATGAGACACCTGAGCCAGGCAGGGAAACCTGGGACCAGGCACATGTGAGCCTCTGGGCTACCTCCAGCAAAGGCAAACCACTATCCTGGGGAACTTTTCTCAAACCAGCTTTAAACCAAAGTCACAAGGGGCCAAGCACCATTCTCCAAGAAGATGGGTGATACCAAGGGAGGACTCTTTCTCAACTGGCACCACCTCCTAGCAGCTCCCCCAGCCTCACCTTGGTGCCCTGGCTGCACCTGGATCCTCACCTGGATCTGCCCTTTGCCCATGATCTTGTCCACAATCTCGTTGTTGTCCTTGTTGACCTTTGTCTTGTCATAGCACTTCTCATAGCACAGGATCCTCAGGGACTGAGAGCCCTCCAGCTCAATCTCAAACTCCTGCAGAAAGACGGGGACAAAGGGCCCTGAATCTCTGAGGCTGGGAGACATGGCTTCCTGGCAGGTGTGGGCCTCAACTCTGCAGGAGCAGGGTGAGAAGAGCCTGTGAGGACCACCCACAAGACAAGGAGGAGCTTCCACATTTTCTGGAGCTGCCAGAGGCCTCCAGTCACTGATGAGGTGCAGTTTGGGAGCCTCAGCTGAGACAACGTCTGCCTCCGATCAACATGAATACTGTCATCAGAAGCCAGATGAGCAGGCAGTGGAGGGCACAGGGGTTAGAGAGACAAGGCTGGCCCAACCAGCAGGTTTGGACACCCTCAGCAGGCAGGACATGAGCATATGGAGGGGTGGGGCATGGTTGGTAACAAGCTCAAGGGTCCCTGAGGGACACCGGCCCCCTGCACTCACCTCGTCCCACTTGGGCTCTGTCGTGTCCCGGAACACCCTGGTTTTGGCTTTGCTTACAAAATAGCCAAAGGAATCCACCTCCAGCGTACAGTACAGGTCTGCAGGAGGAAGGGCAGACACACTGAGTGAGGTCCAGAGGCTCAGGAAGAAGGGGGAAGAGTGCATTTGTTCTTCCCAACATCCTCGTGCAGTGGCATCTTAGCGTTCTCCTCCCCACAGCCCTGTGCGTTTTGGCCTCGTCCTGTTCTCTGCCCTCTTCTTGGATGGTGCTGCCCCTCCCCACCTCATCTGCTACCCTCCAGCCTCACGGGTCTGCTACCGCATCAGGGAGGGCCCTTGCACTTGCTGCCCCTTGTCCTTGACCTCTGCCTGGCTGCCTCCTCCTCACTGAGGCCTCATTTCAAAGACCTTCACTGACCGTGTTAACTAAAGGAGCTTCTTGCCCGCCTATCTCAGGGTTTCTCAACACAGTGCCACTGGCATGTAAGGTGGACGTCACTGGAGGGCATTTAGCAGCCCTGGCCTCTGCACTGAGTGACCCTCGATCATTGTGATAACCAAAAATGCCCCCCATTCCAAAGCTCCCGTCCAGTTTGTTGTTTTTGCCCTTCCTAGCAAGTAGCTTCCACTGAAGCTCTCTGTGTTTATTGTCTCTCCCCCACACCCCACTACAATATGAACACCATGCAGCCAGTAGCCTTGTTTTGATTATCCACTGGAGTATCCTCTGTGCCAAAAAAAATGCTTGGCACACAGTAGGAATGAGTGAATGAAGCTCTCGTCACTGCCCAAAAGCTTCAGGCAATAAAGTGGTGCAGGGTGTGTGGTGGGGTGGTGCTTTCCCTAGCGTCTCCATCTCACACTATGGCCTTTAAGGCTGAACATCTCTTCTCTACCCTGAGGCCCCACTGATGAGTCACAGCACTGGGTGGTCACTGTGGGCACTCTGTATATCTGCACACTCCCTCTGGGGCTCTGACCCTGCAGCCCCCCACCTCCATAGGAGCTGCCAAGGTTGTTTCCCAGGGTAACGGTGGGGTAGGGGGTGACTTTGAGGCACTACAGACAACCCTCTTCAACGTGATTCAAGGGGATGAGAGACAGAGGTCAGAGAGTAGACACTCCACTCAGGCCCAGGAATCACCCAGCTCCCACCCCATCACAAAGACGCTCCAGGTTGCTTTCCATCCGAAGGGAGAGTGGAGCGGACCCCGGGGAGTCTCCAGCTGGGTGAAACGTGAAGTAGATACAACTGGGTATTGAAACACACAGGCTGTGAGTGCAGATTAACGTGAACAATGCCAGAGGCCCAAAGCTCTGTGAGGTTGGGAGACGGGGGGTAGTGAAGCACGGTCATCATTTAGTTATCTCAGTGTGAGTGAATTTCCCATCCAGGCTCGGTGGTAGCTCATGACATAAAAGTGATAGCTTTGGAGTCAGACTGTCTGGGTTCAAATTCTGGTTCTGCTGCTTAGCCAGGGAACCATGTGCAAATTATGTAACTTCTCTACCTCAGTTCCCTCATCTGTAAAGCCCTGGGCCCGACTGTGCAGATTTGATGAGTTCACTGGGATAAGAAGCCACGGCTCAAGATCCTCAGCCCAGCTGGGCTTCATCCCCGAGTCAGAATGAACTCTTGAGAGGGTCAGGGGCTGGGGTGGGAGGGTGAAGACAATCTAGAGACAAGGGAAGATTTCACAGCAGCCTTGCGGGGAGCTCACCCCATTTCTAACCACCCGACCCAGTTTGGGAGATGGAACACCTGCTCTGGGGGAGTGGGATGCTCCTCCTAGATGGGCCTTGCTGAAAGCTGTCCCCAGCCAACCCAGAAGCAGCGGGAGAGAGGAGGGGTGGGACATTCGGCTGGTCCCATTAGGTGGGTCGCAGACTTAGGTGTGTGTAACAGCCCTCGCAAACTTACTACCCAGCAGCTCCCCTCCCCTGCCCTAAGAAGGGGATTCTGTGGGTCTGGGGAGGGTCCAGGAAGCTGGGGTGGTCACAAGCGCCCCGAGTGATCAGTATAGGTGGTCCCAGCCACACTTTCTAAAGGATAAAGAGCTTGGGCTTTGGTGTTGGAAGACATGGGTTTTAGGTCTATTCTACTATCTGTGTGACCCTGGGAGAATCACTTGAGACCTCTGAAATTCAGTGTTCTCGCATGTAAAATGGGCATGCTAACATTGACCTTGGAGGGATGCCAGGAGGACTAGAGAAGATAATGAACCTGAAAAGGCTTTGAACATGCCCAGGCTCTGTCCACATGCTGGCCATGTTCCCATGTTCTCCATCACCCAGTATGGTACCCAGGCACACAGTAGGCCCTCTGTAAATGAACTACTTCATTCATTATTTCTGAGCTCCTGTACATGTTCATGCAAGGATAAAGGAGACATGGTCCCACCTCAAAGAACTCACGGCAGGGGAGACATAATAAATGGCAAAACAGCATAGCAGGTGCTGTACCCGTGGTTTGCCCAGGTGTGACGGGAACACAGAGAGGAGGCTGGTTTACCCCAGGAGCCCAGAGAGGCTTCCCAGTAAATATTTATTGAATGACTGTGTGTGGGCCAATGGCGTAACTTCTTCTAGGTACACGGTAGGGAGAGAGGCTGAGCACAGACCTCACCTGCCAGAAAGGAAAAGAAGGGAGTGGGAAGGGGCAGGCTGAAAAGAGAGGAGTCAGGAGCCCTGGGTTTCTGATCCTGCATGATATTAAGTCCTTATATCTCTCTGTGACTTGGCTTCCTCATCTAGCAAACGGGTAGAAACTATTAGCTGTCTAATATACTCACAAATCCCTACGCGAATAAAAAGTAGATAATAAGTATAATCATATAGGGTCGCTACAGGTCAGAATCGACTTGACAGCAGTGGATTTAGTTTTTTGTTTTAAGTATAATCGTATTTTGTGAAACGTTTAAAATTACACAGGTTTAGTAGATGATGATAAAGAAGGGGAGAAAAGGGATATGTGCGGCAGTGTGCTGGAGTTGTACATACACTGTCATATTTAAGCCTGCTTTCAGGTCAGTGTTAATAAGTGTGACTGCCTTTTATGGAAAAGGATGTCTGAGGCTCAGAGAGGTTAAGAGACTTGTCCAAGGTCACACAGCTTGTAATTTTCAGATGTGGGGTTGGAGTCCAGACACCTGGGGGTAGGGGAGGGCTGGGAGGAGGGCAGATTTGGAGACAATAAGCAAGGAAAATCCCCTTGCCAAGAGAACTTCTTTCCTGGCCCTTGGGGAAATGTTCCATTTCTCAAGGCATGCTGTGAAAAGCAGAGCAGGTGGGCAGTGGCAGACCCCATGCAATGGGTCCATGGTGACTTTCTTGTGAAGAGATGAGCAATGAACGGCCCACCCAACCTCTCCCTAGGGCTGGTGGTCAGGGGCACTTACTGGCTGACTGTTTAAACCCCTTGGCAGAATGGACGATGACATGAAGGAAGCCATAGAGTCCTGGAGACTCATCGTCTGCAAGAGAGAAAAGCCCCCAGGGTAGGGGGTGGTGAGGGGCTCCATTCAGCTTCATTCCCATCTCCAGCGCAGGTTAGTGGGGAGGCAGACAATCTGACACCACCACCTGGTGGCCAGATGAAAAAGTTTCCAAAGCCTCTTGCTTCCTGGAATATGAGCTGTGCCCAGGCAGTGCTGGTGCCTCTTCTCCCCAGCACTCAGCCTGGGAGGCCATCCACACCTGTCCTCCTGAGCCAGGGATTTCATCCAGTTCCCCAGGGACATCTTCCCTCCATCTCTGAATCCTGCTTAGTCCCTGGCTGCCCTCCTTGGTCTAGCCTTTCAAAGTGAAAATTAATCAATATGATAACTCACTCTGCGCTAATGTAGGAGAGACGGTCCTGCTCTGCCCCCTGCTTGGGACACAGGGGGCTCTCTATGACCTCCATATGCCAGGGAGAGCCTGCCTTCAGGATCCCTTCCAGAGAATGGACCCCTCCCCAGCACCCATGGGCAACCAGAATCCACTTACTCTGGGCCAGTTTCCAGCCCCAGATACAACTCTCCCCTGCTCAAAAACATCACAGGCTTCTTAGCTGACAGCAAGAACTCCAAACGCCCTTGCTTGGCATTCAAGGCCTTCCAAGATCTCGTCCCTAGAAATACGCAGCCCTATTTTTCAAACACTACTCTAATCCATCCACCCTCGCCCCATTGCCCCATCCCATGGAAGCAAAAAGCTTTTGTTATCTGACTACCTCATAATGTATGAATAGGATCCTAGTACACCAGGATGCCAGATTCTTCTGTCTAAACCAGAGGGGGCCAGGGAGAAGTTGGGGGCCACGTGGGGGCTCAAATCTCACTGTGAGAATGACCCCTATTCAAGCTCTCTATATACCTGACAACTGAGTCATCCCAGCCTAGTTGAGCAGGGATTAGCCATTTGCAGCCAGGTGACTGGTTGGGTCCTTATGGAAGGCTCCAGCAAGGCCCTAGGGGATTGGACCAGCTGGTGGGGCAAGCTTTGGTTCTGGATCTTACCATCTTTATTGCTGGTGACAGGAATGTTGTGTACAGTCCTAAGTTTAAAGCAGGATCCTGTGAGCACCTGGAGCTCCACCGAGCTCAGGACAAAGGCCTGGAGATCTGCAGAAGGGCCAAGAGAAGAGAGGAACATCATCATAGGTCCACTAGCACCTGCTGCTCTTGGAGGCTGCTATAGGAAAACAGCTTGGCTCTAGGGGAAGAGTTGGTCCTTAAGGAGGTGAAAGACTTGTAGACACTCACACAGGGACAATCATGGATGCTCTCAGAGGGGTGAGGGTGGGTGGATTAGAGTAGTGCATAAGAATGACTGAAGTATAAGTATGAGAGTAACTGAAGAGGTTCACGTATGTGTCCGGTCCTACTGCTAATTCACTGCATGCTTTAAACCAAATATGTAAATTATTTGTGTCTCAGTTGATGGGTAACATCAATTAAGTGCCACCTGCCCTAGCACCTTCTAAGGTGATTGTGAGGACCAAAGAGCAAATGCTGGTCATCAAAGTGCTTAGAAATACAAAGGCCCATAATTGCCGTGGACCCCCATCAGGGCAGTACAGAGTGGGAAAGACTTTACCCTTCTTTTGTAGTTTCTGAATTGCTTCTCTCCACTCTGACCTTTCATAGTCCGAGGACAGTAAGAACAGGTAGCTCTGAAGAGAGGAGATAAGAATTTAGTAGGGTGACCATGGTCAGGCCAAACATTATCCAGATTCTGTCACCCACCCCAGCATAGCTGCTTTTCACCCAGTCACTCCCAGGCTTAGAGAAGGAGGCAACTGGAAGTTGGATGCCAGAAATGGCAGTGCCAGAGATAGCCAGCAGAGGGCACTGACTGGCTCCACACCAGGGGGGAGACGGAGTCCAGAGCCGGAGCCATGGCAGCCTTATTGGGAAGTGGGGGCCTGAGGCCCACAGTCAGGGCCAGGAGCCATTGAGTGGGCAGCCCTGGACCAAGGAAAAGGGCTGCCTTTGTCCCCCTCATCATTCCTGACCTTTCCATTCCGATTGTGGATCCGAAAAGGGATTGTGGGGGAATTGAGCAGCAGTAAGAACTCATTCTCAAACATCTTCTTCTTCAGGCGCTCGATGGCCCGGCTCTGCCCTTTGTTGGCTTTCTGCAGAGGATGGAGGGTAGAGATGGGGTCTCTCACACTCAGACTCTACTGCTCACTTGCCAGCTCTAAGCATACCACTCCCCTGCTTAAAGCCCAGTGCCAGCCTGAAAATTCACCACCCCGCCCTGCCCTGTACCACCATGCACCCTCTGCTGCCGCCTCAGGGTACTATTCCCTCTCTGCTGGGGTACCAGTTCTTTTCCGATTTTCCATGTATGCATGTATTTTTTTTTTTATTGTGGCGAAATATACATACACACACACAGTCGGCCCTCTGTGTCCACAGTTTCCTCATCTGCAGATTCAATGAACCACAGATTGAAAATATCCACATATTTGGTGGTGGGGGGAGGAAAATTTCAAAAAGCAAAACTTAAATTTGCCGAGCACCAAGCACTATGCTGAATCCACACGAATGAAATGATGTGTAGGCATACCCTGCTGTAGCCTCCTGCCATGTCACAGATCTCAGTCTCTCTCCAGCACTGTTGTCTCATGCACCCTTGTTCTGTTATTTACATAGCATTTACACTGTATTAGGTATTATAAGTAATCTGGAGATAATTTAAAGTATATGGGAGGATGTGTGTAGGTTATATGCAAATACTACACCATTTTATATAAGGGACTTGAGCATCTTCAGATTTTGGTATCTGTGGGTGGTCCTGGAACCAATCCCCCTCAGATACCAAGCGACAACTATATAACAAAACATTTGCCATTTCAACCATTTTTATGTGCACAGTTTAGTGATGTTAATTACATTCACCATGTTATGCAACAATCAGTTCCAAATTTTTCATGATCCTTAACAAAAACTCAATATCCCTTAAGTAATACCCCCATTTCTCCCTCCCACCTGCTCCTGACAGCCACTAATAACCTTTGGTCGCTATGCATTTGCCTATTCTGAATATTTCATATAAGTGATCATTCAATGTTTGTCCTTTTCTGTCTGACTTATTTCACTCAGCATAATGCTTTCAAGGTTCACCCATGTCCTAGCAGGTGTCAGAACTTCATTCCTCTTTATGGTGTATAATACCCCATTGTACGGATATACCACATTTTGTTTCTCTGTTCATCTGTTGATGGCCACTTGAGTTGTTTCCACCTTTTGACTATTGTCAATAGTGCTGCAACGCACACTGGTGTATCAGTATCTGAGTCCCTGCTGTCAATTCTTTTGGGTATATACCCAGGAGTGGAATTGCCGGGTCATAGTTAAGTTTATATTTCAAAAAGACCCCCTCCCTTTTATTAACGGCTATCATCCTGCACGTCTCAGTTCTAACGCCATCCTCAAGCTCCTCAGTTAGAACTCATCTCTGAAGCATTTCTTACCCACTATACTGGCAAAATTGTACCAATTACTCACTGTCAGTGTTGTGACAGTGTAGGGGAACAGTCACTCTCATACTCTGCTGGGGAAACATAACCTGACGTGACCTGTTCCAAGGTTAACCTGGCAATTCAATGCACAAATCCTTCACCCCAGCCATCCCACTTGTAGGGAATCTATTACGGAGACATACAAATGTAGTGATGTTCACTGTAGACTGGTGTGTTAGGAATAACGAACCAGAAACAATCTAAATATCCAAATACATCATTGTGCAGTCAAGCACTAGAATGAGATGCAGCGATTAGAAAGAATCAGCCAGATCCAGAGGGCCCAGGTGCACTGTTAAGTGATGGGTTTAAATTGCAAAACAACATATGTAGTTTGATCTCATTATTTTTTAAGTATATATTTAAACAAACCTGTAGCCATCGAGTCAATTCTGACTCATAGTGACCCTACAGGACAGAGTAGAACTGCCCCTTAGGGTTTCCAAGGAGCAGCTGGTGGATTTGAACTGCCGACCTTCTAGTTAGCAGCCAAGCTCTTAACCACTGCGTCACTGTACACATGCACCAGCATAAGCATAGAATCCCTGGCTGATGCAGTTGGTTAAGGTGCTTGGCTGCTAACTGAAAGGCTAGAAGTTCAAGTCCATCCAGAGACACCTCAAATAAAGGCCTGGTGACCTACTTCCAAAAAATCAGCCACCGAAAACACTATGGAGCACAGTTCTACTCTGACACGTGGGGCCGCCATGAGTCAGAGCTGATTGATGACAACTGGTGGTATATACACAGGAGAGTCTACAAGAAGACACCCAAACTGTTCACAATGGGAGGTGGATAACGACCACTGTTTTACTCTATGCACTTTGATGTTGTGAGCGTTTCTTATTAGAACAAGCCATTGTTACACTTGCAATTAGAAAAAAAAGTTGTTTTTTTTTTAAATCAAAAGAGCAAATCATTGCTTCTTCTGTGACTCAGAGAACTTCTGCACCTCTCCAGTGACTCTGTGGTCAGGGTCGGATTCTCCAATAGGCAAGGTAAGCACGGTGCTTACCTTGCTTACCAGATCATCTGTAGTGAACAACTTCACATTTTTTCACCACATCAAAGACTCTGCTTCTAGGTATGGCTGGCATCTGTCTCTCTCCCAACCCCACGGCACCTTCCTACAGAATCAAAGCCTCTTTTCAAATTTACAGTCCCTAACAGGGACAGATTACCTAGTAAGTGAGGTAAGCCCAGGCTTCCTTGTGCTTACTTACTAATCTGTAGCGCACAATTTCAATCTTTGGTATGGTGAAAAACATGTGAAATTGTGCATTACAGATTAGTAAGCAAGCACAAGGAAGCCCGTGCTTACCTCGCTTACTGGGTAATCTGCCCCTGTCTGTGGTCAGTGACAGGCAGGTCTGCCTTCTCCACTGGACAAGGAGCTCCAGAGGCATTGGCACACCCCTTGCAGCTAGCAGCCAGAGGAGCTCAGCAAACACTGATCTGGCTGAACAGAGGCCACGTCCGCACATCGGGGGCAGGATAGTGTGTTCAGGACAAAGCCTGCCCGACCCCAGGACTGAATGAGAAACAGGAATGTAGGCGGTCCCAGGGAGTGGGGTTAAGGGCAGGGGCCAGACAGACAAACAGGCTCACTGAGGCAGGCTGGGGCCTGGCTGTTCAGAAGAAGACACACGTGCTGGTCAGGGAGCTCCCTCTGGACAGACACTCCCCCAGTCAGACCCTCTGTCCTAGGGACATCCCCTGGGGTTACAATGTGGTCCTCCTCTCCTCAGAGAAAGGCATTCTCTCTGAATTGAGAGGGATCCTTAGAAGCCATACGGTTATTAATTTCTCAAAAACTGTTTACTAAGCACCTATTTATTATGTGCTAAGTACTAGGGACATAGAACTGAAGAAAAGAGCCCCCTCACTGGAGTTCACATTGCACTGGGGAAGAGAGAAAGCTGAGCATGTGATTATAATTCAGTACCATTAAAGCAAAGCCAGAGGCAAACAGGGAACCCAGAGAAGGGCATCCAATCCAGACTGGGAAGAAAGAGGTGTCAGGAAGGGCTTGGGGTCGGGGTCGGGGGCTCAGGCCAAAGCCAAGTCTAGACAGGTAAGGAAGAGAGACTCAGGCCAACCAAATCCTTCATTCCACTCACAGGAAAGGCTCCTCCTGGGATGCTTTCCTCTAGCCACTGTTTTCAAGCATATGAATTTAAGGCTATACATTTTCCTCTAAGTAGAGCTTTGGTTACATCCCATGGATTTTGATATGTAGCACTCTCATTTCCATCAGTTCCAAAATAGCCTGCAGTTTCCATTTTGATGCCTCTCTAACTTGAAAGTTTTAACTTTCCAGGAGTATCATTAACTATATTATAGTTCTTAATTTCTAATCTTACTGCACTGTGGTCTGTGAACATGACCAGTGTGCTATCAATTTTTTTGAAAAAAATTAAGATTTCCTTTGTGGCCTAATACCTGATAAATATTTGTGAATGTTCCATATGTGTTTGATGAGAATGTCAGTTCTCTGTCAGGGCACAAGCTTCTATGTATTTTTAGATCGTGCGTGTTAAGTATGAAATTCAAGTCCCCTCTCTCATTTATTTGCCTACTTGATGTGACAGTTTCTGAGAGGCTCCCGGGTCCTTTTTTCTTGAATGCGTCCCACTTTTCCATGAGAAGGCCCTCTTCTTCTTCTCTTGTTCCCTTTTTCTGCAGTGTTCAACCTATACCGTTCTCCAGGAAACTTGCCATAATTTATGCCATCAAATTCTGAGCATTGTCTCTTTGGCCCTCCCTGCATCTGCTCAGTGCTAATCGGCCACCAGCAGGGTCTTCCCTTCAGCACATCAACACTCGAGGCCTTCCACTCTTGCATCCTGCCTCTCTCAGAATCTCAAACCTTACATCTTCCCCTCCCTCTACCTCCCTCGGCACACCCAGGCCGAAAGGACACAGTAAAAACAGCCTGACTCCCCTGTCCCAGGCTCAGATGCCAGGCTCTACTCACCTCCTTCTGGATTTCATTTTTGAGAGCAGAGATCTTCATTTTCATGTCCTCCAGCTCGTGGTCTGGGAAGGGGTGTACCTGGGGGCTGGCCTCAGACTCCTCAGGGGATGGAAACACTAGGTCGGCCAGGGGAATGTACCATTTGCAGTCATATTGCTGGTGCTTCCTGCAAAATAGCCAGAGAGAGACATGAGCCCAAGGGAACTTGGTTCTGCAAGCTGGTACTGCCAGGCCTGAAGTCACCTGGAAGGGATTTACTGAGAGCTTGTCACAGGCAAGAGCAGTCCTTGTCCTTGAGGAGCCAGATCAGGACACATACACATGGAGTCATAATCAATCACGATGTCAGATAATCAAGAACTAAATCGCCAGGGTCAGAGAGCAGGTGCTGTTGGAATTCAGAGAAGGATCAGACCTTTGGCCTGAAGATGTCCTGAAAAGAACACCAAGCAGGTTCTAGAGTCAGTTAGCAGTGAGGGCAATGGTGCTCGGCCTTACCAGTCTTCTGGTCCAGTATGACTGATGTCTTTAAACATCCCAAACCACTTTAGTATCAGCAAGAGTGAAGGCTTCTTGGTTGGGCTCCTCTTTCCTATTCCCCATCCCACACCCTTCCGTTTCTTCTAGCCTATCCATACTTAGTTCACATCCATCATCCTTTATGCTAGAGACAATATAGATGTTATTTTGAATGCCGACTCTGATCAACAGAGGTCACATGGAGTACTGGGTTGAGGATTATAAAGCTGCATCCAAGTCTAGCAGGAAAGAGTGCCGTGATTGATTAGCAATGTCTGCCATGGACAAAGAACTGAAGGCAGAGGCAGGTATGCTTATTATTGTGACCTCTGCTTTAGACCCATCTCAAATCTGATCTAGCTGCAGATAGTCATCCCTTTATCGTAGCTCATAATAAATCTCTCCTTCTCTGACTTCCCCCAGGACTTAGGTTTGCACCTCCCATTCTGGCCCCTTAGTGTGGCACTGAGTGTCCGCCTAGACTGTAAGGTAATGTACTTGGCACCATAAGTAAATGTAAGTGGAAGAATGTATGAATGAATACTGAATAACCTTTTCTGCTCATGGCACAGAGTGGGCCCACCGTGCTGGGTATAAAGGTAAAGGTGAAAAGGAGCTTTCCAATGAGACAAAATAGGGTTCAAATCCCATCTCCTCCACTTTCTTTGTGGCCTTGGGCAATTTATTTAACTTCTCTAAAGCTTTTCTCTCATCTCTGAGATGGGGATAATAATACCTACTTTGTGGCACTGTTGGGAAGCTTAGAAATTATTTTATTCAAAGTATTTGTCATGGCACCTGGCACGGGATATACACTCAACAAATGGTAGCAGTAGATTTAATGAATATTCACTGAATTGCAGTTAGCAAAAATTTAGAAATATCTAATAAGAGGAGAATGTTTAAGTAAATTACGGCATATCCACTTGCGGTACCATGCAGTGAAGTAAGAGGATGATTATGGAAATGATACCGCAACAAGGAAAATGCTTATGACGTGAAATGGAAAAAGCAGAGCCCAAAACTGGGTATTCACTCTGATTACAACTACATGAAAAAACACAAGAACATTAAAAGAACTGGAAGGAAATATAGCAGCAGGAGACTGTGCTTATGTTCAGGCGGGTGATGGCTTTTGCTGTAATGTAGTTGTATTATCATTATAATTAAAAGCATGCTATATTTTAGAAAAAGGCTATGTAGTGAAAAAATTAATTTATTTTTAAAATGGAAACAGAAATACTGATTGCCTCAGGTTGCTGAGGGGCAGTACAAGGGGCAGAGTCTCGTTCCCACATCTCCCGTCCCTTTGCACCTGGGCTTCCGCACACTCACCCTGCAGATGTCTTTTTCAGCTTGGCGCACAGTAGGACATCTGTAAAGAGGAAGACGTGCCGCAGCTTCCGGGAGCCCTCCGACACCTCCACCAGGAAGCCATCCTTCACCAGCTGCCGTGTCTGAGGGAGATGCACACCCACCCCAGCCTGCTCAGATGGGAGGGTAGCCCAGGGAACCCCATCCAGCTGGGGAGGGATGAAGAAAGGGGCCACATTGCCTAGTGGTTAAGAGCACTGGCTTCAGAGTCACACAAACCTGGGTTTGAGTCCAGGCTCTGCCACTTCTCAGCTGTGATCTTGTGCAAATTCCCTGACCTCTCTGTGTCTCAGATTTACCATCTGTAAAATGGGGATAATGATACCTGCCTCATAAGGTAGGGCTCCTCAAGATGGTATATGTAAAACACTTAGCACAGTGCCTGGCGCATGCTATGTGATCAAGAAATGGTAGCTTTATACTTTCCTGCAAGCTCCCACCTGGATGGACTCGAGTCCAGGATGGCCTGGTTCCTCTACCCTGGGGCATGAGCCCTCCTGGGATCTTCCCAGTTGAGCCTAAGAAGTCGATCTAGCTTCAGCTCAATCTCAGACCTGCAGATCTACTCAGGTCTCTTTATGCTACATCTAAGTGGATCCTTCGACCATCCCCAGCTCGATGGGGACCCTGGACTACCCTCAGGGGGCTGTAGCAGTGTCTGGGGGAGACCTGCAGCCACTCTAACCTCGGCTCGGGATGGTCAGGAACATTCTGCTCTGTGTGGACCTTCCAGAGTTTCTTCCCTGCCCTCAGAGCCAGCGGGCTTCTCTGCAGCTCACAACCTTCCCCAGCCTCCTCTACGTATTATATACCATGTGACCTACATATGCTCCCTGTGTGTCTCATAAATGTGCGACCTACATATGCTGCAATATGTAGGTGAGCATCGACGGTAGACAATTAAGACGACCAGGGAGTGGTGGTGCACTAAGCCCTCAGCAGACTGTTCAGCTATCCCCAGAGAAAAACACCAGTTGCATTCCAGGGTGTTGCAAATCAGGGCTGAGACGTCACATAGAGACAGCTCTCCATGCCCCATTAGCCACTCTCCAGGCCTGTCTCTCATTACTTCCCTCCCCAGGCGACACTGGAGTCTCGAAAATGTAACAAAGGAGCATAAACTCAGTCAGCCTTCACTATCAAACACCACTTAACTACCTCTATTGTATCTGGGCCAGGCTGCTGACTCCCTCAGGTAACTGTCCCCCTGATTCTTCAAATTGCCTCCCCTCACTGGGGTGCCCCCCACCCTTCCACCAAGAAGGGCTTCCAGGGAACTGGAGCTGCTGTACCACAGCCAGGCACCCACATGGGACATTCCAGCAACCTGGGGGGCCCCGGCCACCTCCAGGGCCAGCCTTTCCTGCAGGCGGGCTCACTCCTCAGCTCCTGCCCTCTTGCCTGCTCAGGCTGATCTGACGCAGCTCAGAGGCTCCCTCTACTGAGCCATTATCTTCCAGGGGGCCCATGAGGGCACCACACTGGCCAGAGAGGGGTGTCTGCATTCAAGAATGAAGCATCCAGAGGCCCCAGCTCCCCTGGCGTGGTGGACAATACATGGGGCCTGCAGGCAGGTATCCCCAGGTGAAGAATCCAGTTCTGACACTTATGGCTGAGAGACCTTGTGGCAGTCACCAAGCATCTCCAGACCTCAGTTTCCTCTTCTGCCTCAAAGGATTATTACGAGGATTCATGGGACACTGGACTGAAAGCTCTCATCCCAGAGTGACTGCAGACTGAAGACCTCTCCTTGGCTGGGAAAACCCCTGGCAGGTGGGGCATCAGGGCTGGAGGGCTGGGCCACAGGGCAGCAACGCCCATGCGTGAAAGAGAGCAGGGACAGGGGTCTGGTCCACTGCCACTCCTCACATCAGCCCCAGAAGTCCTGGGTGCAAGGCTGTGCTGGACCCCGAGCTCACCTCGCCCTTGGGGGTTGTAACCGCAGTCCGGCGGGGGTCAATGTCCTCGTTGATGCTGGACAGGAAGTTCTGAGAGATGCGGAGGGCATCCTGGAGCAGCGGGTAGTCTGGGTGGTCCACGGGTGTGTGCTTCAGCAAGTCCTGGGAAGGGATGGGTGGTGAGTGGGGGGAGCAGTTCTGGGGCTTAGTGAGACCACAGTGGGGAGACAGGTGGACTGGGAGTACCCAACCCTCACTGAAAGAATTCCAAGGGGGGCACTCAGGGACCCACACTTTAGTCTGGTCAGGCTGTAGAATCTGAACTAAGTATGAGGGTCAGCGCAGCAGGCGTGAAGACAGTGTCCCCTTTGTTCCTCCTGCAGCTATTACTCTTCCCCCTGGCAGGGGAGCCAGGGAGAGACACCCTACTCCCACCTCACAGTTGCTCTGAGGCCAGAGGAGACCATGAGGCAGAGGCTGGGGAGGCAGGAAGTGCTTGCCTCCCAGGGAGCATCTGGCCAAATGTCAAGCTTGGTAGCCAAGCTATATTTAGGCCCTGGCCCCATTGGCATGGTTACTGCAGACCAGGCAGGCACAGCCGGGACCCAGGGACCCTCTACCCAACTCCCGACAAGGGCTGTTCTCAGTGACTCCAGCACCTTCCCATCCTGAGCTCAGTGTCCCGCTCAACTCCTAACCCTTCGCTGGCCATTCGGGGGGCTTGGCACTCACGTGTAGGACCAGGGTACTCCGAGTGACTCGGTCAATGGGCTTGTAGAGCAGAGCTGTTGGGGAAGCAGGGAGAAGCAGATGGGTAGGGATGAAATATAGGAGCAACTTCAGACAGACCTTGGAGACCAGCTTTATTCTCCCTCCACCTTGCTCCCCCACATGGACTACCACTTGCAAGAAGCCGAAGTGGGTCCCCAGCTGCGTCCACCTCCACTCACCCCAGGAGACCGGACAACACAGAACGGACAGACTGACTCACAGCCCTGGCAGCTCCAGCCTTCTCCTCACGTCTCCTGCCAGACATGATTTCTTGGAAGGCTGCCCCCAGGCCCGTCGTGGCTCACAGCAGGTGCAGAGGCTCCCCTGGACTCCACCCAGAATCACGCAGCTACACTAGCCATCCTCCCGCAGGCCTGCAGCACCCCCGGGGTTACAGCCGGGACCCCAGAATAGGGAAGGAGACCCGTGGATTTTCCAGGGAGGGCGGCCTCCCCTGCCCACTCACGGTCACACCCCTCCTGTCCGAAGCCTGGCACCGTCTGCTGGAAACAGCGCCCTTCGTTCCAACATGCACAACGGGCCTCAGCTCCATGGGGAAGACCCCTCTAGACTCCCTCAAACCCCCAGAACAGGATGGGCTGGGGGCCAAAGAGGCTGGCCAGGGTACCACAGAAAGGCTCTGTTCTCAAGCAAGTGGTGACCCGAGGGAGCAAAGCTTTCCTGAAGAAAGCCAGGTCAGGCCTCTGTGTGGGAGTCCTGATGAAGCTGGGAAAACGCAAGCTTGGCTGACCCCAATTCGCCACACCCCTCTGTGACCTCTGCCAACTTGGACACCAAGTGAGCATGGCTGGGATTCAGCAGAGACAGGTGGGGTGGCAGCTGGCAGACCAACCCTTCCAAAAATCCTTCCCTGCAAGCAGCTGTGTATTGCCCCTCCCCACACGGGTGGCTCACCCTCATCCTGCACCTGGACGCTTCTTTGCGTGGGGTCATGACCTCTGGCCTCCTGCCCCAGGAGTGTATAAGAGGCAGGATGTTGGTCTGAGAAGGAGGACCCTGGAGTGGGTGTCCTATAGGACTGGGTTGTGATGGGTGCCCAGAGCCAACATGCATGCCTTAGGTAACCCCCAAACCAGAATTCCTCAAAGCCTTGGAAACATGTGATGTTAAGCAGACACCTCGGGGAACAATCTGCTGGCTCCAGAGAAGATGAGGTTCTCGGTGGTGTGCCACGAGCCTCATCTGGAGTCTTTACTTGGTTGCCCATTATGATCACTGGGGAAGCTCCTAAAAGTCACATCTGCCTGCCTCTCCTACCCCCATCAACTAAATCCAAATTGCTGGGTGGGTGGGGCCTGGGTATCAGCAATTTTCAAAGTTTCCCTGCTGATTCTGATGTATAAGCATGGGTCAAAAACCACTGCTTTATGCAAACACACTTCCTATGGCTTTATCTGTAGCCTTTTCTTGCTTAGCAATTTCTAGAGACTCTCCCCATGGGCCATGGGGGCTCCAATGGGGAGGTGGCAGGACCAGGCTTGGGGTGTATCCTGGGACCGTGGGGGCAGAGCCTAGTCACCAGTCTAGAAGGGACCCATTTCTGAGGCTGTTTCAGGCCCCACCTGTGGCTCAGTCCAACTTTGGGGACACACACACCCAGAGAACCCCAGAGACCCAAGGGAAGAGGGCAAGTTCAGCAGACACCTGCCAGGGTGGGCCTCGAGCCCCAGCCCAGGGAATGCTGACACAGCACTGTCAGCCCCTCCTTCCCTCGTGGTCCCAGGGGGAAGAAGCTTCTAACTAATCTCAGAGGTCTGCACAGATGGCGAGTTGGGTTTCAGAAGGTTATTAATATGCTTGCAGTCACCTCGAGAGTCCACCTGCCTGGGACCATGGAATGTGTCCTGCAGCCCTGGCTGGGTGGGATGTGGACAGCTGTGGGGGAGGTGGGAAGGGAGGAGGCACAGGGGGAGGGCCCAGGGGCCCAGCTCTCGGTCCACGGTCACACACAGAAGAAACCAGGGGAGGAAGAGCAAGCCCAATGTTGGCACTCCCCATGGCCCCTGCTCCCTGCTTCCCCTCAGAATTCAGGGTGAAGACCCCCCTCCCCCAGGAACCCTGCCCCTCTACCTGCTCCGCGGCTCTGGCAGGCCAACCTGCCTCCAGCCTCTTCTTCACCCTCTTCCCACCCCTCACTATGCTGTTTCTGTCCTGCCTGGGATACCCACCACTCACTACACTGCAATGACTGTCTCTCCCCTTCCTCCAGGAAGCCTTCCCTGACCAGGACCTTTGCAAATAGCACCTACCACATCTAAAAGTCAGACCACTGACAAGAACAAGCTGGTCTCTATCTCGTTTATTGGGCACTTCCTCTGTGCCCAATGGCCCCGAGTTAACTGCTTGATGTGCATTATCTCCTGAGATTAAAAAAGTAAGCGATTATCATTAGCCCCATTTTACAGATGAGGAAACTGAAACACAGAGAAGTTATGTTGCTTGCTCACAATCACACAGCTGTGAGTGGTGGCCTCTAACTTGGAGCATCTTCCTCCGGAGGAGAGGGCAGCACCTATAAATGCTCAGTGATCCTCGACGGGGGGAGGAGGTCACAGGCGACTCCTGTGTGAGGCCTCCGCAGCCCTGGTATGGGGCTCTACAGGTGGGTGCCCAGTAAGTACCAGTTGAGACAAGCAGCTCCAGAGTGAGCTCCAGGTGGCCTGGTCACTGCAGGACCCCCAGGACCGGCACCCCTCGGAAGACTGAGAAGATTCTAACCAATATGGATTAGCAGGGGATCATTCACTTCTCACTCCCCACTTTGAAGCTGACTTCAAAGACAGTGAGTGTCACACGGACCAAAGAAATCCTGAACTCTAGGTCTCGGGCCTGTTGCACTAAGCTCCAAGCTTCCTTTTGGGGACAGAAGAGGAAGCAAACAGCCTATCCTTTTTCTTTTTTAGGGAGGCAGACTTGAGACTTGGCTGACTCCTAGGCCAAACCAAAACAAGCATCTCCCCTCTGATCTTCGGGTAGGCCAGTTTCGAGTCCAGCTCTCCTTCTGACCCCAGGCTGACAGAATCTGAGCCCAGGGGCAGGAGTCAGGGCTGCCGCCGCCCAGCAACTCTGGGGCCACAGAGAGGAACGGGGAGAAGGGGCTGCCTCAGGGGCTACCTCTTTCCTGAGGGGTCTTCCACACAGGGCAGCCTGAGAAGGTGAAGGGACAACTGGACGCACATAGTTCCTCCAGCACAGTGACCTCTGGGAGACAGCCCAGGAAATCTCAACATCTCTCTTCCAGCAAGCTGCCACTCCCCTCAATTCAGCCTTCCACAAGGAACTCCGGGTTACCACGGAGACATGAAAGCAAAATGACTGAGAAAGGTGCAGAGACAAAATGCCTGGTGGGAGGGAAGAGGAAGGTCCTAGAACCAGCCGCCTGCCTCTCCAATCCACAGGGGCCCAGAGCAGCTGCCTACAGGCAACATTTGCCCTCCGCAGCCCCGCCAAGGCGGCTGGCATCACCCCTAAGGCCCTTCTTGCCTCAGAGAGCAGGGCCCACCAGCTTCCAGACAGTACCCTGCCCAGACCTGCCCCAGCCCCTATCGGCAAGGACCTGGCTGACAGCGTGCGCCTGTCACAGGACCCCCCAGCTGAGGAGCAAGGAGGATGCTCTGGATCCTTTCCATGGTAGGGTGGGTGTGTGACCTTCACAAAGCAACAGCCGGCCACACCCCCCTCTCCCACCGGCATCCACTGCCAACCTTCCAGCTAAGCGCCAAGCCCTCAGCTTCTTCTGCTGCAGCTCAAGGGTCTCAATGGCTAGAAACAAACCTCCATGGAGCAGCCCAAGCCCTTCCTGCTCTCCCAGCCGCATCCATGTTCTCCCACTGCTGCCGATCCCGAGAGGAGGCAGCAAAGGCAGTGTGTGCACTCCGCCCACAATACCCTGGCCGCAACCTCCTCTCCTCTCCCTGGGAACAAAGAAACTCCCAACTTCTCCCTCCAGCCCAGGCTGGCACCCATCGGTTCAAGGCGCTGCTGTTAAACCATCTGTCATTCTCCGACTGGCCATGCTGACCCCTCTGTCTGGCCCCAGGGTTACCATGTCTGCAGGTACAGCCTTGTCACTTTCTTTCCTTAACAGCCTCTCCAGAAGTCAGCCAAACCTCCCAAGCTAACCCACCAATTGCCCACAGATCCTCGGTGGTACCTGGATCTTTCTAGCCTCGTCCTTCCATTTCAAAATCGCGCTGCCTTGAGCAGCCCCCAGGCTCTTCGAGTCCAGGCTGGAAGCTAGCTAGGACGGGGGTAAACACAGATCCAGCCCCTTGCCAACTCTCCCTTCCCTACTGCCCCCCAAACCTTGGCAGTCACATTTCAGCCCACTCCAGCCAGCTCCGGGAGGCGGGAAAGCACCCCACCTCCCAGGGCCAGAGGCCGGGGTTACCATAGGTGCAGTTACAGCAGAAGCGAACGATCAGGAGGATTTCCATGGCAGCCTGCGTCCCTGCGGCAGGAGCATGAGGCCATCGCTCCCAGCTCCCCAACTCCCATCAGCAGCCCGGCCACTCAGCCACCTTGCTGGCTGCTGCACAGCCTCCAGAATCGAGCCGCTTTCCGAGTGCTTCTCTAGCGAGGGGGAGGGGGAGGGGAACGCGCGCGGAGAGGCGGG